GTAATGCCATCCAGAGTAAGAATCTGGTTAGATACCATATTTCTCAGATTTTCAGGGCTGAGTACAATAACCCCAGTTTGACAGAAAAGCAGAAAGTTAGTGGCCATCCAGGTCTTTATGTCTTTAAGACAGTGAATCAGTGCCTCTATCGAGTGGTGCTTTTTCAGCTGTCTAAATGCTCTGTTTCTGTTCATTTGTGCTTTTCAAAACTGCTCCCAACAAACATAGATGTTTACATCAGTGCTCTAACAACTTCTACTGTTATAACTGCACATTACTTTTCTCAGCTTATATATACACACTAACTTATTGGAAGTTACATGTCTACTTTTTAATGCACAGGTACAATACACAATCTGCACTTTTCTAATTATTCTAAATATTCCTAACTATTTAAACATCTTTCAGTATCCTGCTCTGTTTGCACACTATCTGTACGCTAATTCTAACAACTGTACTGTACTCTGCTCTGGTAACTATTGTCCATGATGTAAATATGTAAAACAAAATTGTGTTTTCTGTTCTGTGTCCTGTTCTTTTTGTATATGTGTGTGTTTTTTGCTGCTAATACAACCAAATTTCCCCTTGTGGGACAATTAAAGGATTATTCTATTCTAGTCTATTCTATTTACTCATTCCACCAAGGCACACTATTTTTTACCACTGCCCACTACAACCCTTTGAATGGTTTCTTCTGGAATCTGCATGTTTACTGTCACCAGCTTTTTGTTAAAAACATTTGGCTACACTTATATTGTCCCAAAGAAATTCTTCACATTTCACTTACTTAACACTTTATAACTAAACTTTTCCCAGTTTATTCTACCAAGGTCCAATCTCTGTGCTCTCTACTTTAATTATTGTTAAATTTTGCAAATAGCAATACTTCCAACTTCTGTATTTAGTAAACTATTATACCTAGTACCTTTCCTACTCCAGAAAATGGCCAAAAATCCTCTACATCTCCACAGTGTGCTATTTGCATTGACAACTCCACACCATATTATTTTCCATCAACAGCCTTCACTATATCAACAAGCAAGTATTTTACATGGACTGTAGTAGTTAATAATAGTTACCTCATTGTCTCTCATTCAAAACCCTAACTTTATCCCATTCTACACAAGGGTTAGGGCTAGACAAGGATGATTTTGTGTAAAGAGCCCAAGCCATGCGTAGAAGTGAGCCCGACTATATCTAGCCGGTACCTCTCAACCTCATGCACTAACTCCGGCTCCTTCCCCACCAGAGAGGTAACATTCCATGTCCCAATTGCCAGTCTTGGTAGCTGGGGATCAGTCCGCCAGGGCCTCCGCTCCTGGCCGCTGCCCAGCACACAATGCACCCAACCCTTACGGCCCCTCCTGCAGGTGGTGGGCCTGCGGGAGGATGGGCCCATGTCCCCTTTTCGGGCTGTGCCCGGCCTGGCCCCATGGACTAAGACCCGGCCACCAGACGCTCGCCCTCGGGCACCCTCCCCGGGCCTGGCTCCAGGGCGGGGCCCCGGTAACCCTATCCCGAGCAGGGTAAACTGTTCCCTCACTGTTTTTCTCATAAGGGTCTTCTGAATCGCTCTTTGTCTGGTCCCTCACCCAGGACCAATTTGCCATGGGAGACCCTACCAGCGGGCAAAAGCCCCCAGACAACCAGAGGTGGGTCGAGTATCCAAAAATTGTACTCAAGTAAGAGTAGCATTACTTTAAAATATTATTACTCAAGTAAAAGTGAAAAGTAGTCGTCAAAAAAGTTACTCAAGTAAGAGTAAAAAAGTACTTGGCGAAAAGACTACTCAAGTAGCAATATACTTTTCATGTTCGTGCAATATACCTTTCACGTTTGAACAATATA